TTTTGTAAATAAAAATAAAAAAATTGCAAAATATGCTCATTAATAACATCATATATAACAACTTTTACGGTTGAATAAAGTGTATAAACCGCTATAATTTTGGTTCATAGTTATATTATTTACATTTATTTAGTGTTTAATTTTCGCTTATTTTTTGCATTTTATAGCGTGATTTTTATTAATTATAGAAATATTTTTTTAAAAAAAAATTGATTGGACAAAATTTTCTCAAATTCCTACCATATTTAGGACTTTTCTAAAACAAGAAAACATTTTTAGGCGGCTTTATATTCAATTATTTTTTCACCGGAGAGGTGGATTACAGCAGCCGATGTTGACATGAGACCCCTACATTGTTAATACTCAGGTATTACCCGAGTGTTTGTTAAAAAAGATATACTTAAGTTTAAAAAATAATAATACTTACACCGGTGTTTATTAAAAGACATATAAATATAAATTTTAAAAGTAAAAAAACAAGTATGGTGCAAATTTTAATTTAATATTTAAAATGAATCATCTTATATTATAATATTTTTTAAACTTTATAACTACTTGTTAGTTAAATTTATTCAATTGATAAATAAATTTATTTTTTTCAACTAAATGAATAGATGATCTAATTTTCATTTGTAAATATAAATATAACTATTTATTTACTTTATCGTATAATATAGATGTCAAATTGAAGCTAATGAAATGATAATTGATTTGATATATAATATATACAAATTTAATAATAAACATAAAAGTTTACTTTTAAAATATATAGATAATTTAAGGTAATAAAGTGTATTATAATTAAAAAGTAGAAAAAGACAGATTGAGGCAAAAAAAAATCAATTTTTATAAACTATGTCCTGAATAAGAAATTATATTAAAACACAATTAATGCTCATAAAAATGATTATAAATATTCAGTGTGGATAATTTGAAGTCTAATTATTTATAAATTGGAAGTAAATTAAAAGTAATTCAAACCCTATGACGAAGCATGAACTTTTACCAAATAGAAACCCTGTGAGCATGTCACTTAGGCTCATCACGTTCAGGATGTAGAGAATTTATTAAATATTATATTTCTTTATCGTATTTTAAAAGTTAATAACTTTTTTTTTATCTCGAATCCATTTTTCCAGATATGATATACTCAATTAATCATTTTTTTGACGATTTTCGTCATGACATCCGTAAAAGAATCTAAAAATTTGGAAATCAAATTAGTTTAATTGTAAATAATATTTGGGTTAGACATATATAATATATAAATCAAATTAAATTGATCATTATTTTGATAATTTAAAGGGTTAAAATGTCTATCATTTTAAATAGTTATCAAGTTATTCATTATTTGTTGTACATTTCTTTCTATAATTTCATAGTAAGACTATACATACTTTAATTTACTAGTTTTAGTTAATTTTTTTTTTTTTTTTAAATGTGTAGTACAACAGTAAATAATTCAATTAGTAGACTTTTATTCAAAAAAAAAAAATAAATAAAAATAAAACAAGCTATTAACTCGAGTTATTTATTATGCTAGACTTTTTTATTTTTTTTTTCAAAAAACATCAAAGAAATTTTTTAACTCAAGTACATAGGCTAACCAAATGGTTAAACAACCCAAGTCCTCTTACAAGAGAGAAATGAGGGCAAGTTGGAGGAATCAAGAGAATTTCTAATGCTAGAGTTGTATTTGAATGGGCCATCGAACTCTAACACAAGTTGGCCGAGGAACAATTTGATTGGATTTTCTAGCTTATTGACAAATCTTGGCTTAAACTAATTCCCTTTAATATCCCGCAGGCATTTTTTTAGGGAAATACTACAGTTTCGTTACAGAATCATTTCGTCGGATTTGTAATCTTGGATCATTATGTAACCGTCGAGAATAGTTGATCAAACCATTACAAACTCCGACGAAATGATTGGGTAAAGAGACATATATTTTCCTTTCTTTTTTAAACCCAATCCTTATTTTCAAGGACCCTCATGTCCACATTGAGGGCTAAAGCCTCTGAAATTTGACCAAATTTATGGCTGATTCACACTTGCGCACACTATAATAAAACTCTTGAGGGAGAGATTTGCCGCCCTTGTGGTCCTACACGGCTCGATTCTGAATTAGTCGGTTCCCCTGTGGATCCGAAAATCGGAAGGTCTCTGTACCAAAAAATAATAATAATTCGATTTTATTTATTTATTTTCTTTTTTCTTGTCACCTTTTCATTTTTCCTCTTTCATTGTCATTTCTCAATTTCGTGAGATTTATGGTATTTGATAATATTATTAAAACATATATTTAGGTAGGTCAACAATCAGGCAAATATCATGTCTAGTTTCGTCACATGCATCAATAATTCCTGTTTCAATAATCATCTTCCTATTCCTTTAATTTTTGATCACGAGCTTCGTGTTTTCAACGTTATCAATTTTAATAGAGTTTTTCTGGCTGGGTGACTGTTATATCCCGTTAATTGTAATTTGTTAACTATTTTAATCACAGTAAGTGTTTTTTTTTTTTAGGTACCTAGTACGCTGTTTGTTTTGTGCAAATACAAGTAATGATAATTGCAATTTAGTTGTGTACAATCAGCTATATATATAATTGCAGAATGCACTGAGTCTAAGTGGCAATCTCGCACGATTCGAATCCTACTTGGCGAAAAAACGTAATTCGTAATTGTGGTTTAAATAAAAAATAATATTATTCTAAATCGATAATTTTAGGTTCGGACATCCCAAAAATATTGAAAAACTAATTTGGTATTTCAATAATAGTTTGACTAATATAACTTTTAAGTTGTATGAGAACCTTTGGTAATGATCAGGGACGGAGCCAAAGAAGGCCCACCCACCCCGCCCTCAATTTTTCTAAGAATATATATATAAAGAAAATAGAATGCAAAAATTATATACAATATATTAGTAATTAAAACTTATTTTCTATGCTATCTTAATTTAAATTAATAAGATTATTTTTATTAGAAAATGTACAAACAATATTTATATTTTTCATTTCTTGATAAGCTTTTGAAAATATTTATAATGATTTACACTTTAGGTCTCTTAATTGTAAATCAATTTAAATATTTATAAAAACCAAGTATCTAGTTTGATTGTTACATTTATGAAAATTGATTTTTCACCTTTTTTTTTTGTGTAATCAAATACTTTTACCTTTATTTATTTTTAGAAAAAAATGTTATTAGCTCTCTCAACAAAAATGTTATGCAATGTGTTGCAAAAGTAAAATTTAAATTAAATTTTCAACAAAAAAACTTATTTTTCCATAAATTATAGGTGTTGCACTTAAATTATAAATACATGAAATCTTTTTTTTTTTAAGTTTGGGGTTGATACGGTTTCCAAGTATTTAAAAACACAATGACTAATATAACCTTCATTTGTTTTAAAAGCTCCCAATCGGCTAAAAAGTTATAATGAAAACCTTAAATTAGTCTAATGAATACATATGTTTAATTTTAAATAATTGTTGTTTTTATTATTATTGAATTTTAAAAATAATTTTCTTAACAAATACTCGTGTAGTACACGAGTATTGTACTAGTAAACGATATGTATGATTTTTTTAAACAAAAACCTACTGTGTTATTTCTTTTGAGTTCATACTAATACTGGGTAATACTGCAATTAGACATAGTCATGGATTGCCCAACTTGGAATGAGAACGAACTCGGCTAGATTAAACCCATTAACTACAGGACTAGGACCGTGCCCGGATTCAAACTGGACCGGTTTAGGGTCATATGTATGTAACATATGACCTAGTGAGTTGGGCCAGGACCAAACGGGTCGTACCAACCCGAAAAATTAATGTTAATATTTGAATATAAATATTAATGTTTTCTTTTAATTCAATTATATATAATATTGAATATATTATTTATATGTTTATTTAACCAATTATAAAATATACGTCATTTTAGAGTTCTTGTTAGAATTGAGAAACATAAAAATTTAATATGTCCAAACACTATCAATAAATAATGGTAACAAAAATACTTCTATCTCTTACCTTACTCATACCTCACTACAATATAATTTCGTTATTAAATAAATCATAGTAAACTTGAAAAATAATGCAAATATTATATCATCAGATGATCAATTGGTTTGTCATCAGAATTTTTAACAATATATATTATAAATTAATATTTTGATTTTTATTTTTCATCTTATAATTTACATGGTAGTTCGACAGATGAGTTATCATAATTTGTAACAATATATATCATAAATATTTTGCATTATTATAATATAAATATTTATGTGATCGTTCGACAAATAATCCGTTGGTGTATATTTTTAATAAAGTTTATACTTTATTCTTGAAATAATTGTATACTTACAGTTTTATATTTATTTATAGAATTAATTTTTAAACCTATTACTATTTTTGATTATTTACACTAAAACTAAATACATTTTTATTATACATACATTTACGTTTTATTGAATGAATAATTTAGACTATTTTTGTTTAAATCAGTATTAAATAATAAATAAATTTTAATTTCACCTTGATGGATATGAAAATGAAAAGTTGGTTTTTGATATAGGGAAACGTACGAATGGGAAGGATAAAACGAGATACTTTCTCGTAAAACTCACAAAACTCAATCAATTCTTATTATCAATTCACGGTCCAATAACAAAGAAGAGATTTTTTAAATAAGACACCCAAACCCTAAAACCTATCTTGTCCACCAAGTCACTAAATATAAATAAATGTTAAATAATAATAATAATAATAATAATAATAATAATAATAATAATAATATTCTACACCAGTTTTTTTCAATATGGGAAATTTGCCTCACTGGTGATTGGTCAGTTGCAATGTCAATATTCAAGTTTTTGAAAAATTGCATTGAGACAATTTTGATGGGTGAAGGTATGCTGAAATTACAGTTGTGTAAATACTGGTTTGAAATTTGCAATTTGTGTGTAATGGCAACGGTTGGACAAAAAATGGCAGTTTCCACAAAAAATGCTCCCCGCCGCTCTCCACTTACTCCTCACGGCGGCGCAGCCAACCCGGGCAACCTACCCTCACTCCGACCGCATCACCAACCTCATCTATCCCTTCACCGCCGGCAGCTGCCCCTCTCGCTGCGGCCCGCCGGCATTCGTCCTTCGTTCCTGAAAAACCTTAATGAACTCCCGCCCCGACTTCTTCAACACCAACTTGTGTCCTCCCCTGTTCCGCAACACATCCCTCAATTTTCTCCGCCCGCCATCCCGGACGGCTCCCTCTACTTTTCTCTACGGCTGCAGCGCGTAGGTCCTGCCGTACTGTTGTTTCATATTTCCTTCCAGCCTTTTGCGCTACATTGATTCGTATTACCTGATTGGGGCGTTTACACGGAGACCTTATTTTCCGGGTTTTGAGCACGAGCAATGGGGTCGCCATAAGTGTCCCTGATGCAGGGGTTAGAGTCAGAGTCATTAGGTCCCTCATGTGAGATCGCGTGTGGAGTGTATTAAATCGGGTGGGCATTGCGAGTTCGTTCCTTTCTATAGCCGGTTAATACGTGTTTTCGGAGATAGGCCTCTGTTTATTGGTACTTCTGCCGGGTAAATGCTGGGATTTTCTTCTACAATGATTCTCGATTGGATGGGTTGTAGAGGTTTCAGGTTATTTCACTCTGACATTCTGCAAATAGTATGTTAAACCGTCGTTTTGTCAGAGTTAATGAATATTGTCTTGCTTTATTTGGCATTATATTGTGTGAAGTTATGATGCACATTGATTGTTATGTACATTCTTTAGTGCCACCCAGTGGATTTGGCTTTGGAAGCATGGAAAACCTGCAGATTTACATGCTTTTCAGCACTATATGTCATCAACTCTCACCACATAAACTAACACTATTTCACCTCTCGCTTGCAGAAGGAAACAGCAATAACTCGAATTCAGGGATTCGTATTGGTACGGTGTCATTAGTTTTCTTAGAAAAAAAACTATTCTACATAGCTTGAGAATTGAAAGCTATCATTTTATTTTTTGTACCCAATATTCAGGCCTCCCCATAGGCGGTGCCGTACTTGCTGGTATTGGCGTGGGATTGGTAATTTTCTACCTTAGGCAGCGAAGGAAGCAGCGTGTCGAGCGCCTCGGCTCTCAATTGAACCGAACTGCGAGCAAGGAAATCAGCACTCCCTGGAGCAAGCCTGTGTCTACTCCATCTACCAATTTCAGTAAAAGTGCCCTCTCGTTCACGACGACATCAAACTCCGACCTCGAGTGGGGCAGCATGTACTGTGGAGTCCAGGTGTTTGATTACGCCGAGCTCGAAGAGGCTACTGACAATTTCCATTCTTCTAGAGTCCTTGGCGATGGTGGGTTTGGCACGGTGTATTATGGTAAGAAAACAATCGCTCTCTATTAAATTGTGCCCGACTCGATCATTCACATGATTAATTAATTACAGAAATGTATCTCCAGAATTTCCATTTTACAAGGAGATAGATAGTTTTGTTGATTTAAATAAATGATTCGATTTGTCCCCAATCGAAACAGGAACGTTGTCGGATGGGCGCGCAGTTGCCGTGAAGCGGCTGTACGAAAACAACTTCAAGCGCGTGGAGCAGTTCATGAACGAGGTGAAGATCTTAACGGGCCTCCGCCACAAAAACCTCGTCTCCCTCTACGGCTGCACCTCCCACCGCAGCCGCCAGCTCCTACTCGTCTACGAGTTCGTCCCCAACGGCACAGTCGCCGACCACCTCCACGGCCACCGCGCCTCGACTCAGCCTGCTTCCCTCCCTTTGCCCGTCCGCCTCAACATCGCTGTCGAGACGGCCGAGGCTCTCGACTACCTCCACAAATCCGACATCATCCACCGTGACGTGAAAACCAACAACATTCTCCTCGACTCGGATTTCCACGTGAAAGTGGCCGACTTTGGCCTCTCCCGCCTCTTCCCGACTGACGTGACTCACGTCTCCACGGCCCCACAGGGAACCCCGGGCTACGTGGACCCTGAGTACTACCAGTGCTACCAGCTCACAGAAAAAAGTGATGTGTATAGTTTCGGTGTGGTTCTGGTCGAGCTCTTATCATCACTCATGGCAGTGGACACCAACAGGCACCGTCAAGACATCAACCTGGCGAGCATGGCAGTTAACAAAATCCAGAACCGGGCTCTGGACGAGCTGGTGGACGAGAGGCTGGGGTTTCGAACAGACGGAGTGGTGAGGCGGGTGGTGACGTTGGTGGCCGAGCTGGCGTTCAGGTGCCTGCAGCAAGAGAGGGAGATGAGGCCATCGATGGAGGAGGTGCTGGCAGGGTTGAGGCGAATTCGGGATGTGGGCTTGGGTGGTGGTGATGCCGTGGAGGTTGTGGACGATTTGGGCCCATTGAGGGAGCTGCCGTCGCCGGAGAGTGGGTCGGGGCAGAATTCTTGTGGGTGAGGTATTGTTCATTTGTTCTTTTCCTTTATTGTTCATGTACTATTATTATTATTATCATTATTATTATTTTATTACATAGATGGATTTTTATAGTTTAATTTTTGTCTGTATGTTTTTTTTTTGTCAAAATAATAAATGGAGGAGGGTATTGAGAGTGAGCTTACAGGGAATGTACATAGTATCAGGTTTTGCTGATGATGAGAATGGAATGGACGGTGTGTGTTATTCTGCATTCTTAACATTGTACGGATGAAGAAGACTGTTATTATTATTATTATGAAAATAAATAAATATTTTTGTAATTTTTTTTTTTTTTTTTTTTTGGTTATTACCTGGTCAAATTGTATGGAGTGTTGGGGTTTGTTTGGGGCCCCCCCCCCCGGAGGGCTAACGTCGCTCACCCACCCAATAGGACACGAGAAATGTTTTGTTTTTAAAGTAGATGCATTTATGGGGTACCTATTTGCTTGCAGCTAGACATGGCTGGTTCCAACTCGGCCCGCCGAACCGGCCCACATTTTATCGTTGAACCGGAACCTTGGGCATGCGGGTCGGTTTCGGTTCTTCATTTTTCTTTATTGGTCCCGGCAGTTCGGGTGGGTTATAGACTCATAGTTAATTCTATTTTTTATTTATTTATTTTTGTAAATAAAAACAATAAGGTTTAATGAACTGCGGGGTCGGGCCGATTTCATTTGAATCGGCCGATGGCCCGATAGGAGAAGCCTCAAAAGACCCGCCCCCAACACACTCAAACAAACAAACGGGTCCCCTATCCGTATTCTTAATAATTCCACTTTAACTCCCTCCATTTATGTCTCTCTTCTTTTTGAGCATCACAAACTCCCATAGTGCGACGACTGAAAAGCACATTCCCAAATTTCACAGCCGTTCATTCCAATCTCACTTTTTCTTCTCCTCCTACAACGCTAGTCTATTTTTCCTCCTAAACTATTCAAACCCAATTCCCATCTGTCTCACTGAAATACAACTATAAAAGAGACAACATGGCCACACTTCACAAATTTAAGCTGCTGGCCACTCAGTGCGCGGTCGCCGGCAGCCCAACCAGAAGCCCGACCACCAGCCCCGTGATCCACCTCCGCAGGAGAAGAAGGACCCTCAGGATGCTGCTCGGCCGCGCGGGAGGGGGCGCCGGAAGAAGGCTTCCGCCGAGATGCGACGGGGGATCGCCGGATCGTAGGCGGAGCTTCGATGAGGTGAGGTCGCCGGAGAGGGGTAAGGAGTTGTCAGTCGGACACAAGCTGAGGGATTTGTTCGTGTCCTCGCCGCCGGCTTTGGGGGAAGGAGTGTCGGAGAGCGGGAGGGGATTTTCGCTGCCGACGGGCGGCGGCGATGACCTACGGCGAGGCCGTGGACGGCCGATGCGGCCGCTGTCGGCGACTTTGCGGCAGCGGTTGTTGAGGAGAGCTTGGCGGCCTGTTCTCGTCGCCATACCTGAATGAATTGGTTATTGATTCCAATTTGCAAAA